ACCAGTTCCACTCCCATGACAACCCATTCATCACCTCTTAAAAGCCACACCTTTCAATCCTGCCACGTGGGGGATCAAGTTTCCAACACAAGACATTTCAGGGACACATTCACACTATAGCAAGTAGATTCTCAAACACCTAACCAAGGCTGAAAGGAAAAAGCAGCCCATCTGTTGTTAATGTATACTCTGCCCGCGTACACACATACACACACACACACACACACACACCCCCACACCCACACACACACACACACACACACACACCCACACACACACCCACACACACACACCCACACACACACACACACACCCCCACACACACACCCACACACACACACCCACACACACACACACACACCCCCACACCCACACACACACACACACACACACCCACCCCCTTCTGGGAAGTCTTGTCAGAGTGCTGGATTCTTTTGTATTTTTTGTCAACCATGGTTTAAGAAACCAACATCAGGTTGTCTCCCACAAGTCCTTGTAAGGAAATCCAGTGGCTTCCCGAGGCCTGTTTTGGATTCTGTGGCACAGCCTGGGAAGACAGAGGCTTTTCCGCACTGACCTATTCCTAGCAGCAGGTCCACTTAGGGCTCATTCAGATGCAGCCTCTGAGGCTCCACCCCTGACCTACTGAGTCAGAATTTTTACCGAGATGCCTGTGCCTGTGTTTCATGTGTACAGGCAAGAGTCCTTGTTCCAAAACCCTGATGCAGTTTTAGAATTTTTGAGGTATTCTCTTTATTTTTATTTTAAATTTTTTCTTTGGAATTAATTTTAAAGTTAGGGAAGATTGCAAGAACAGTACAGAGACTTCCAAATACCCTTCCTTCACTTTCCCCATTTTCTCTTTCTCTTCTTCACCTACCCCCACCCCCTCATTCTATTTTTCCTCAAAAAATAGAGACAGAAAATCACTCCTTCCCAGCCTTGTCCTGGATGCCTGGCCCCAACACCTGGGGAAACCATCTGACAGTAACTGATGGTTTTCCAGAGAGGTAGGCAGATACAAGGCATGTTTTAAAAATTATTCTGTTCCTTTTTTGCTTGTCACATAGATACTAGTAATATAAAAGTCCTATGAGTTAATTTTATTTTTTCCACAAAAATTTTATTTTGTGGTCCTTTCCAATTGTATAAAGGACTGCTTTATTTTCCTGGTTTCCTAGTATTGTATGGATATACCATCATTTTTAAAACGAAAATTAGGCCAGGCACCATGGCTCATACTGGTAATCCCAGCACTGTGGGAGGCTGAGGTGGGAGAACTGCTTGAGGCCAAGAGTTTGAGACCAGCTTGGGTGACACAGCAAGACCTCATGTCTACAAAAGTAAAAAATTAGCCAGATGTGGTGGCTCACACCTGTAGTCCCAGCTACTTGGGAGGCTGAGCAGGAGGATTGAGCCCCGGAGGTTGAGGCTGCAGTGAGCTGTGATTGTGCAGCTGCACCCCAGCCTGGGTGACAGACGGTCTAAAACAATATAAAGATAAAAATAGAAATTAAAATCAGTTTTTTGACACATTCCCATGGTCCATGATTCAAAGTTTATGAAAAAAATCTCCCTCCTACACCTAACCCCAGAGTCCTAGGTCCCTCTTCAGAGGCAGCTAAGCTTAGGAACTCCTACGCCCTGCACTTGGTGGCCATCTGGATTCCATCATGCACAGGTATTTTCCTGCAACAACACACTTTGAAGAGAATTCCTTCTCGGTGCAGAGAGGCCTTCATTCTTTCTGTGCATGTAGGATCATCCCTTGGGAGGTTTCTGTAGCTTACTTAATCCGCTGTCTTGTTGATGTGTGTCAAGGTTTCCAGTATTTATTAGATCAATGCTGCAGTGAAGCAGCTTTTATAGACTTCACATTGCACATGTGTGACATAAACTTAAGAAATCTCTGCATTGAGGGGTGAGCACGCTGGTTACTTCTGGACATTGTCCAGCAGCCCACCATAGGAGTGGTGGATGTGCAGCCTCCCCAGCAGAGTAGGAAGACCTGTTTCTCCACATCCTTGGCCACCCAGCAAGGTAGCTGCCATTTGGGTTTTGCCAAACAAGATAGGGATGAGGTGGATCCAAGAGCAGAAATTACAAAGCAGTGTGTCCCCTGGAGCCTGGACCTGGGGTAATCAGTCTCCTTTCTCTCCCTTCTATCTGCACATGTTGCTTTGGGCTGTTCCCTCAGCCCCAGCTTCCACCCCCTACTCCCCTAGTGCTATGGTCTGAATGTTTTTGTGTCCCCTCCCCACAACTTTGACATGTTGAAATGCTAGCCCCCACGCTGCTGGCATTAAGAGGTGGGGCACTGGAGAGATGATCAGGTTATAAGGGCAAATCTCTCATAAATGGATTAGTGCCCTTATAAAAGAGGCCTCAGAGAGCAGCCTTGCCCCTTCCACCATGTGAGAACACAATGAAATGATGGCCATCTATGGAGCAAGGAACTGGGCCCTCACCAGAACCCAACTATGCAGGTATCAGCTGGAGACTTCCCAGCCTCCAGAACTGTAAGACATACATTTATGTTGTTTATGAGTCCCCAATCTGCGGTATTTTGTTAGAGCAGCCCAAATGAATTAAGACAGAAAATTAGCACCAAAAATTTGGGGTGCTACTCTAACAAATACAACGTGGAAGAAGCTTGGGAACTGGGTAATGGGTAGAGGCTGAAAGGGTTTGAAGTGCAGGCTGGAAAAAGCCTGTGTTGCCGTGAGCAGGCAATTTTTTTTTTGAGATGAAGTCCTGCTCTGTCACCAGGCAGGAGTGCAGTGACGCGATCTCTGCTTGCTGCAACCTCAGCCTCCTGAGTAGTGGAGATCACAGACGTGCACCACCACACCTGGCTAATTTTTGTATTTTTAGTAGAGACAGGGTTTTGCCATTTTGGCTAGCTAGGCTGGTCTGGAATTCCTGACCTCAGGTGATCTGCCAGCCTCAGCCTCCCAGAGCGCTGGGATTACAGGTGTGAGTCACCGTGCCCAGCCCATGAACAGACTATTACTGGTGATTCTGGTGAGGCTCCAAAAGAAAAGAGGAGATTTGATATTCTCAACCAGAATGTTGGTGCAAATGTGAACAGTAAAGCTATTCTGATGAGATCCCAGATGGAAATGAGAAATGTGTGGTTGGCAATGGAGGAAAGGCTGTCCTTCTTTTAGTGGCAAATCACTTGGCTGAACTGTGCTTATGTATTAGTGTTTTGTGGAAAGTAAACTTACAGGCCACTGCAATTGGATATGTGGCCACAGAAATATCTAAGCAAAGTTTTGAAGGTGCAGCTTGTGAAATGTGAAAAGAGAGAAGTGATTTAAAGATGGGACTGTTACTTAAAAGGGAAGCAGAACTTAAAGATCAGGAATATTTGTCAGCCTATGTTGATAAGAGCGAGCCAGCCTGTTTAGGAGAGAAGATAAAGGTTTTGCCATTGAAACTGAGGCTGGGAGCTAGTCCAAGAAAATGGAAAAATGACCCCAAAAGCAATTCAGAAATCATCAGAGCTGTTCCGCCCATCACAGGCCCAGAGCACAAGACCCGCAGCAAGCAGGGGACCATAGCAGAGAGCCCCGCTTCAGTCAACCCCGAAGCCCTAGATGGCAGGGCCATCAGCAGAGTTCCAGCCCAAGAGAGCCTTGGACCTCTGAAAGAGACACAGAGCTGCCACAGAGGTGGAGCCGCCACAGAGGTGGGGCCACCACAGAGAACCCCCTTGAGGGCAGGCCCTCACTAGGGGCTGCCGTGGGGCAGGACCACCCAGGGCCTTGGGGGCTCAACTCCTGCCCAGTGAAGGTGCCACCTGTGGGTTTGGAAGGTGGGGTCACCTCCCAACACAGTGGGCCTAGGGAGCACGGTATCAAGACAAAAAGGATTATTCTCGAGATTAATCTCAAGCCGTAAACCATAATGTGCTGTGACCTGTAGGTTTAGGACTTGCTTGGGACCTGTTAGTCCTTTTCTTTTTTTCTATTTCCCTTTTTTGGAATTGGAATGTTTATCCTGTGCCCATTCCACCTCTGTGTGTGTTGGGGGGGGGGTTCTTTTTTTTTTGAGACGGAGTCTCACCCTGTTGCCCAGGGTGGAGTGCAGTGGCATGATCTCAGCTCACTGCGCTCCGCCTGCCAGGTTCAAATGATTCTCCTGCCTCAGCCTCCCAAGTAGCTGGGATTACAGGCACCCACCACCACGCCGGGCTACTTTTTGTATTTTTGGTAGGGATGAGGTTTCACCATGCTGGCCAGGCTGGTCTCAAACTCCTGACCTCAGGTGATCTGCCCGCCTCGGCCTCCCAAGGTGCTGAGATGACAGGTGTGAGCCACCACGCTGGCCTCACCACTATATTTTGAAGGCACATAACTTGTTTCATTTCACAGGTTCACAGCTGGAGAAAATTTTGTCTCAGGTAGAATTGTGCCTTGAGTCTGAACCGTAACTGATTTAGATAATATTTAAATGAGATGTTGGACTTTGGACTTTTGAGTTGATGCTGGAATGAATTAAGACTTTGGGGGTTATTGGGATGGAATGAATTTGTTTGGCATGTGAAAAGGATATGAATTTGGGGGGAACCAGGGGCAGAATGCAATGGTTTCATTGTTTGTATCTCCCCAAAATTTGTGTTGAAATTGTAATCCCCAAGATGATGGTATTAGGAAATGGTGCCTTTTGGGGAGATGATCTGGTAACAAGGGCAAAGTCCTCATGAGTGGGATTAGTCCCTCCTAAAAGAGGCCCCGGAGAACTCCCTTGCCCTCTCCATCTTGTAAGGACACAGAAGATGCCTGTGTTTGAACCAAGAAGTGGGCCCTCACCAGGCACCCAACCTGCTAGTGCCTTGATCTTGGACGTCCAGCCTCCAGAACTGTGAGGAACAGATTTCTGTTGTGTAGAAGCTGCCTGTCCTACAGCATTGAGTTATCACAGCCTCAGTGGACTAAGACTGAGACACCTAGCTCTTCCCGGACTGAGGCATCCCTGTTCTACTGTGCTTTCAGAATCGGGTTTCTCCGTTCAAGGACATGATTTTATGCTTCTCTGAAGAGGATTGGTCCCTTCTAGATCCTGCCCAGACTGGCTTCTATGGAGAGTTCATCATTGGGGAGGATTGCGGGGTCTCAGTTCCTCCAAGTAAGACTTAACTTCCCCCCGTACCTCAAGACCAGGGAACTGGGCAGGGGGGCTCTCACTTGGAGTAAGAGTCAACTTCGTCCCATAAGATCAGGGAAGCGGGGCCTGCATCATATTTCTCTGTTCACCCCCAACCTGGATGGGAAGTCATTTGCACACAGCGGCCCTGTAGGCAGTGTGTCCGACTGATCACCTGCCGTCTCACCTCATCAGGCTTATCAGAACCAAATAGAACACGTGCTGTATGTCCATTTCTCTTCCATCGCTCTTACCCTTTCGTCCCTTTACTTCTGCTTTACACCCAAAAGCCTCAGAGAGACCCCCAAGCCCATAGCTCTCCCTGCATGTGCTGCCCCCACTGCCCCTGCGCTGCCAGCTCTGGCGTTTTCACTTCTCACCCCTGATGGTGCCACGCCCGCTGGGCATCCCTCCACCTTTTCTCTTCTGGACCAGCCCTGGTTGCTGCAGGATCAGATTACTAATAAACATGTATCCTGCCTTTTTCTTTGAACAGACGAGCTAGCGGCCCAGCCGGATCTCTCCCAGAGAGAGGAGAATGAGCCTCGCGTTCCAGAGCCGCAGGATCTGCAGGGGAAAGAAGTGCCCCAGGTCTCCTACTTGGGTGAGTAGTGATTCCGGAACTGAGTGGACAGAGTAGGGTGAAGGGTTGCTGGCAGCCAGAGATGAGCCCACTTGCTGGCTTCTCTCTGCAGCCCCTACTTGCCTTCTTCATTTTCCCAGACTCTATGTGGGTCTTGCATGTCTTGCCTTGTCCCTGACTTTTCATAGAAAGAATGGGGGATCTTAATTTTGCCAGGCATTGGGATTGTACTCCCTCAGCCAAGGACTGGGAAATAATAGGAATGTCTGTCTCCTCTGCCTGTAAGTAACATCTGGTTTGTGCTGACCATACAGCGACCCCTCCAGGAGTGAGGTCAGATACTCACGACAAGCCTGGTTGCAGAGGGAGTGTCTCCTCCTAACTGGGCACCGAGCACAGCCCTTTGAGGTGCCTCACCTGTCTAGTCTTCCGTCTGCCTGGTGCAGGGGTGCTGTGAGGACACTGGGGTGTGGGGAAGTGCTGGGGCTCAGCAGCAGCAGTTTCCAGCCCTCCTTCAGGCTGTGTCACCAGCGCTTGCACCCATGATCTCCATGCCATGGTGCTTCGAGGCACCTGCTCCTTCAGGAGGAAATTTGACAGAATCATCAGCAGCTCCACACCTCCTTCCCCTTTGGGACCTAGAGCATGAAGCAGACAAGGTTTTGACACACCATCCCCACCTGGAACAAGCGTTCAGAGACGGCGTGGCACAGTAGCTCCTGTCCCATCTCTACCCCATAGGCTCTGCACAAGCTGTTTGTGCAGGATGTGCGGAGTGTGCAGGAGCCTGTGGTGATGACTATGGAAAACCCACCACAGAAAGTGGGAATAAATGCAGGGCTGGGGGAGGTACTTGTCTCTGCCATAGAGTAAGTAGAGTAGAACCCGGATCTGCGTAGACTCTGTCTAGCTTCAGAGCTCATGTTTGTGGAGTTGGCCCATTCTGCCTTCAAGTTCATTCGCTCAGCAGACACTTCCTGAGTGGCCACCCCCTGCCAGTCCCCAGGAGGGAGCCCAGGGCCGCCCCCAGATCATAGCCTGGCATCTGTTCAGATAGCACCCTCCCAGGTAGTGCTGTAGGTGCAAGACAAATCAATTTTTCCGTTTCCTCCTCTGGAAAGACTCTCCAAGTCTCCAGCCATTCCAAGTAGAAGAAAGGAGGAAACGTGAGGAGCTGCAGGTGCCGGGGTTCCAGGCCTGCCCACAGACGGTGGTGCCTCAAAACACCTACCCAGGTAAAGAAGGGCCAGGGAGGTGTGGGGTGTGTGCCTGTGTGTCTGTGTGTTCACGTGTGTATCTGGTGTGTCGCATGAATGTATGTGTGCACGTGTGGCATGGGGGATGGTCGTGTGGAATGCCTGTGTGCGTGCATACACATGGTGTATGTGGTGTGCTGCATGTGTGCGTGTGTGCGTTCCCAGGTGCACCTGTGTGTTGGGGGCATGTGGGTGTGTGATGGAAATGTGCGGTGGTGAGGGCATGGGACAGTTAGGAATTGAACTTCTCAGGATCTCCGCGGACCGCTGCGGTGGTGTTCTTACCTGCTTGCCCAGATTCCTCTGTGCTGGGGTCATTCTCCAGCTCACTCCCAGTCCCGGGCTCACCCTCCTTGCCTTTTCTGGGGGCCAGGGAGGGTGTGTCAAAGCAGGGTGCTGCTGTAGTGCTGTTGGTGATGTGGCGAATGTTTTTCTTCTCTCAGCATGGATGGCCAGCATCCTGGCACAGGGTCTTGGAATTGGGATTAAAGAGCAGGTTTCTAGTGTACTGAAGCTGCACAGGACTCTTGGAAAGTGTATGTTCCATTCCTGCTTTCAGAGAAATAGCCACAGTGTAGACTCTGAGTCGTCTTGGTAAAAGTCACCACCTCCAGAAGCAGAGGCTGCAATGCTGCCGTCTTTCATAAGTTCTTCTAAATATCAAACCCAAGCCTCTGATTCTCACCGGAACCCACGTGTCACTGTAGTTTTCTGCAGCTATGGAGACCGACTCACACGCATTATGTGTTCTACCTGTGATGCTTTTGAAGGCAAGATTTGTGCCATTTTGACCCAGCTCCATGCATCTTGTACTTGGCCCCCTTTCATGCATGGACAAAGGGGCTTTTCTAGTGTGGGAGATCTGAAAGGATGAGATCCTGCTCCACAAGCATGGATGCCCACCTCTGGTTTTCTAGGAAGCCCACCTCTGCATGCCAAGGGCGATGCATTCATTTGGGGTCCACGTGGAGTTCAAGCGCAGGCTTGATGTTTGTGATGCACTTTGAATCTTCTCCAGCTTCTTTCTGCCCATAGCATGTCTCTCAGCCCCATTAATATACTTTTAGAAGATGGATGGATGTTCAGTTGTACACAGGAGTTTTCAACTCCGTTCTTCCCTTGTTGGACTCTGACACAGACTGCTCTGAAACAGTCAGAAGCCAAGGGTTGCTACTGAGAAGGGAGAGATGATAGATTTCAAAGAGTGGGCACTGTTTTTATTTTGGTAGCTCCTGCCAGCTTGCCTTCCTAAAAGGCTTTTCCCGCCAGCTGATACCGGATAGCTGGTGACAGGTCTGCTTCTCTATATCCACGCCCACACAGGACACTCCCAGATGTTGCTTACCCTCTGGTGTTTTGGGCAGACTTCTAGCAGTTTCATCTGCTTTCTCCAAGGAATTTTCTTCATATTGTTGTGTTGATAGCACATAAAAGGACTATCCTTGATTTATTTCCCCTTTTGTAGAAATTATGCATCGAATTTTGGTCATTTTAGCTGATTTGAGGTGATGTTGTCCACTGTGAGCTATATTACTCTGTTAGGGCTTTCATAACAAGTACCACAGACTAGGTGGCCTAAACAACAGAATTTTATTTTCTCACTATTGCAGAGGCAACTAATAGAAGATCAAGGTGTCAGCAGAGCTGGTTTCTTCTGAGGCCTCTCTCCTTGGCTTGGAGATGGCCACTGCCTTGCTGTGTACTCACGTGGTCTTACCTCTGTGTTTGTCAGTGTCCTGATCTTCTCTCATAAGGACACCAGTCATATTGGACTGTGGAGCCCACCCACCCATATGTCCTCATGTTAACTTAATTACATCTTGAAAGAGCCTATCTTCAAATACAGTCACATTCTGAGGTCCTTTGGGGTTAGGACTTCAACATGAAATTTTGGGAGAACACAATTCATCCCCTGTAAGACCTCACCCTCAGGACCTTCAAAATTCATGTCTCTCCCACATGCAAAATCCATTCACCTCATCCCAACAGCCCCCAAATTCTCAGCCTATTTCAGCATCAACTGTAAGTCCAAAATCTCATCTAAATATCAACGTCTCAATTGGGTATGGATTAGACTTGAAGTATGATTCATCCTGAGGCAAAATCCTCTCCAGCTATGAACTGTGAAGCTAGATGTTTTCTGCTTCCAAAGTACAACTGTGAGAACAGCATAGCATAGACCATTCTCGTTCCAAAAGAGAAATCCAAGAGAAGAAAGGGTAATGGGTCCCAAGCAAGTCTTAAATCTAGCAGGTCAGGGCTAGGTGTGTATTACGTGCCTGTAATCCCAGCACTTTGGGAAGCTGAGGTGGGCGGATCACCTGAGGTCAGGAGTTCGAGACCACCCTGGCCAACACGGGGAAACCCTTTCTCTACTAAAAATACAAAAAGTAGCCAGACGTGGTAGCACACACCTGTAATCCCAGCTACTCAGGAGGCTGAGGCAGGAGAATTGCTTGAACCCAGGAGGCAAAGGTTGCAGTGAGCCAAGACTGTGCCATTGCACTCCAGCCTCGGCAACAAGAGCGAGACTCCATCTCAAAAAAAAAAAATCTAGCAGGTCATTTCCGTGGGATTTTAAGGCTCAGGAATAACCTTTGGCTCAGTTCTCTGTTCTCCAGGCCCAGCAGGCTACTGGCCCTGCTCTTTGGAACTCAGAAGGAAACGACTTCACCTCCTGAGCCTGTACCCTCTGGTCCTGTGATGACAGTGGCAGCCCTGTACCCTCTGGTCCCGTGATGACAGTGGCAGCCCTGTACCCTCTGAGCCACCTTTGGAATCATTCTTCCCTTTTCCTGAAGGATAGTCCATATTCACAGCCAGATAGCTCTGTCGGCCAGTTTGTAGAATCCCAGAAGTCCAATAGCCTTCTTTTGTTTCATCCCATCTCTTTTCCTCTCAGTCCCAACTGGCAGTGTTTCTGCTGGTGTATAACACTCAGAAACCCTGCCCTCCATGCAGTTCACAGGGTTGCAGGCCGTCAGACGAGGGTGTCCTCCGTAGACCTTCCTGGATAACCTCATCTGTGTTCCTGGCTTCTCTTGAGATGGTAGATTGGATCCATGAATCACAGTCAGAATCTCTTTAATAGATGATGAGCCAGCCTCACTCTTGATGTCTCTCCAGTGCACACTTTCTTATTTTTTGCAGAATGGATAGACAGAACTTTCCAAATCTTGAGGTCATGGTTCCTTTTTGCTACAACAGTTCCTTCCTGAGTTTCTCTCTCATCTCACGTTTCACTGTAAGCAGCAAAAAACTAGTCTTTGCCTTTGACACTTTGCTTAGATATCTCCTCAGCTCAGTATCCAAGTTCGTCACTTACAATTTCTGTTTCCACAGAGTTTTGGCCAAATTCTTTGCCACTTTATAATTGGAGGATCTCCTTTTCTCCAGTTTCCTATAATGTCTGTATTTCTACCAGCCACCTCCTCAAGGCTTTTTAAACATGCACTTCAAAACTCTCCTAGCCTCTACCCATTACCTAGTTCTAAAATGACTTCGACAGTTTTTGGTCTTTGTTTTAGCTGCACCCTACTTCCTGGGCCAAAGTCTAAATTAGTCCACTGTGGCTACCATAACGAAGTACCACAGGCTGGGTGACTTAAACAACAGAAACTTATTTTCTCACAATTCCAGAAGCAACAAGTCCAGAATCAAAGCGTCAGCAGAGCTGGTGTCTTCCGAGGCCTTTTTCCTTGACTTGGAGACGGCTCCCATCTTGCTGTGTCCTCACAGGGTCCTTCCCTTTGTTGAAGTCTGCCTCCAATCTCCTCCTCTTAGAAGGACACCAGTGATTTTGGATTGGCCCCACCATGTGACTTCATTTTGATTTAATTACTTCTTGAAAGACCCTGTCTCCAAGTAGTCACATGCTGAGGCCCTATGGGTTAGGGCTTCATCATGTGAATTTTCAGGGGGACACAATAACACACACGGTCTGCTTTCACAATTCCATCTCCTCACCCGGTTAACAAATAGGAGATCTTAGCGGCCCACCTGGTCACTTTGTTTTCCTCTTCCACCCAAATCCATTAACAGAAGCCAACTGCCGATCAAGTACCGTGTTGTCGGCAGCCTGGTAAAAGTTACACCTTGCTCTTGTCTCCACCCCATGAGGTCCACAGAGTACATCACACACATGACCTCACCTGCCCCACCAGCACCTTAGATCGACTGGCTGCCACTGTCATGCTCACCTTATAGACAAGGTTACCCAAGCTCTGAGAAGCTGTCTGGCTGGAACGAGGTACCTGTAGCTAGAAAACCAAGAGTCGAGATGAGCGTCAAACATAGCCTCTCGGCGGGGCACAGTGGCTCACACCTGTAATCCCAGCACTTTGGGAGGCTGAGGCAGGTGGATCGCTTGAGCCCAGGAGTTTGAGACCAGCCTGGGCAACATAGTGCGACCCCATCACTACAAAAAATTTAAAACACACACACACACAATCTATGTCTTCATCTGGTGATTTCCCTCCTACACTACATGGGTTCTTGGCAGACTCAGTACCCACTCGCAGACTCACGTTCCCCCGACCCCCCTGTGACTGATGGACAAATGCCCCCACCGCTTCCACCACTGCCCTTCATCTGTCTGCTCTCCATAGCCTCTGTGTCTCCTTGCACTGCTTCCGTTTGTCTAGCTTATCCTGTCTGCTCTCCACAGCCTCTGTGTCTCCTTGCACTGCTTCCGTTTGTCTAGCTTATCCTCTCCTGAGCTGCTCTGAGCCGTCGGGGCTCTCCTCCCCACAGCCATGAAGCCCAGACTAACCATGTTCCTACTCAGATCTAGGAGGGCCTGACTCACTCCCCCAAGTTCTAGATTTGACTTCTGCATTTCACAGCAGTGAGGAAACAGGCCACCTGTATGATGGGCTCTGCTCCGTAAGCCAGGAACTCAGGCCGGGCTCTGCACTGCCCGCCCAGCCCCTCCCCGTGGTTCCACCTTCCCAGCATCACAGACTCAGGATGCAGGAAGTCCAGAGCAGCTTTACCCATCGCCACCTGTAGCCTCAGAAATGCAATGCTACTGGGAGCCGGGGAGCCGTGGGGCACCCGCAGTCTGGGACTGTTGAGCAGCCCAGCAGGGCTGAGTAGCATTTCAGCCCTCCTTCCTGGGACAGATCACCTTAGTTTGTGTGTAAACATGGCAGCCAATAGGTCATCGGGTTGCATCCAGGAGCAGATAGGAATGTGCCTGTCAGAAGTCTAGCACAGTCCCTGGAGCATGCAGGTGCCCAGCACATGATATGTGTAGGGTGTAGAGTCTTCCCCTCCCAAGGCCTTTCACTCTCCTGATAGAGCTTTCCCCCATGCCTCGTTAAGTACGTGATCTGTAAATGGCCAAGGCTTTGCACGGATAAATACAGACTCCTAGAGCTTGGGGGGATGGGGTGGTAGAGATCAAAAGGGTTGGGGGTGAGGATAAGGGAAAATGGCTGGGAAGAGGGAGAGCAAAGTGTCCAGCATGCTGTGGACACAGCGTGGCCTATGCTGAAGATTTCTTCCTCACAGGCTACACCAGTGGCCCCTGCAGGGCTGGCCAGGCCGTCCCGGTCATCGAGGAACATTGTAAAAATAAGGGTTTGTAAACTCCAAGCTGAGTCTTCCTGCGCCGGGGTCGTAGGGGCTGGGATGTGGCCTGTGCAGCACCGCTGACCTGCATGTTGCCTTCCTGTAGCTGGCGGCAACCCGCGATCTCTAGAGAACAGCCTGGACGAAGAAGTGACCATCGAGATCGTTCTGTCCAGCTCTGGGGACGAAGACTCCCAGCACGGCCCGTACTGCGCGGAAGAGCCGGAGAGCCCCAAAGAGGAGCAGCGCAGCCTCCCCGCTTCCCACCGGCGCAGCGCCGAGGCTGGGGGCGAGGTGCAGACCTCCAAGAAGTCCTACGTGTGTCCGAACTGTGGGAAAATCTTCCGCTGGAGGGTCAACTTCATCCGACACCTGCGAAGCCGCAGGGAGCAGGAGAAGCCGCACGAGTGCTCAGTGTGCGGGGAGCTATTCAGTGACAGCGAGGACCTGGATGGGCACCTGGAGAGCCACGAGGCCCAGAAGCCTTACCGGTGTGGTGCCTGCGGGAAGAGCTTCCGACTCAACTCCCACCTGCTCTCCCACCGGCGGATACACCTGCAGCCGGACAGACTCCAGCCAGTGGAGAAGAGAGAGCAGGAGGCGTCCGAGGACGCGGACGAGGGTCCCAAAGAGCCGCTGGAAAATGGCAAGGCCAAGCTGAGCTTCCAGTGCTGTGACTGTGGGAAGGCCTTCCAGCGGCACGACCACCTGGCTCGGCACCGCAGCCACTTTCACCTGAAGGACAAAGCCCGGCCCTTCCAGTGCCGGTATTGCGTCAAGAGCTTCTCGCAGAACTATGACCTCCTCCGCCACGAGCGCCTACACATGAAGCGCCGTTCCAAGCAGGCTCTGAACTCCTACTGAGCCTGCCCACCTGGGGCGGCCTCACCCTGGCCGGTGCTGCCCCCTCACATTGGTACTGATCAGCGCCCCCACCCAGGACGCCCCTTCCCCAGGATAGAGAGCACACCTCCCTCCTGTCCTTGCTCTCAGGTAGTGAGCGTTCGGGTGGTGCCGTGGGAGCACTCTCCCTCCCCCAGGTATTGAAAGAGTGGCCAAGTGAGTGTTGTGTTTCTGCTGTGCCAAAAATCGGGGGGATGTGCCACCACCAGGTTGGACATGCCAGGTGTTCTGCGTCTTAGAGACCCCTGCCCCGTGCTCCCCAAGCTCGGGGAGTAAAACGGTTATCCCCCGTCGGGGCGGCACCCTGGTCACCAGCCAAACCTCAGTATACTCCCTCTCTCCCTTCCCTGTCTGAACCTGAAGCTTCAGGGTGCCTGCACTTCCACTGAGAAGCTGCTGGAGGGTGTTGGATTGGAGGAGGGAAGAAGGCAGGGTGGGACTGACGGGTTCAGTGGGGAGCAGGGTCAGGCACACTGAGCCAGACTTGTCATGTCTGAGCCCAAGATTCGTGGCCATCAGGTAGGCAGGAGCACCCCGCAGATCCAAGATGATCAGGCAGCCCTTTTGGGCTTGGAGTCTGTGGCAGGGGTCTGCAGAGCTCCTTCTTCAGGTTTGGTAACAGTCATCATACCTTTTGATTTTCCTGAGGGCCAGTTACTAAGCATCTGGAGCTCACCGAAAACAAAGCTTACATTTTAATTTGTGTTGCACACCCACCCCATAGTGTCTTCATACCCCAGAGATCCTTGGTAAATGCTTGCGGGTTGGAAGCTGCGTGGTCATCGTTTAAAAGGCACTTAAAAGTCCCTTCTTCCAATCTGTCCTGTCTGGGAATGTGGAGCTCAGCCCCCAGTGAGGGGTTCTCCTGTCCCGTGAGCCAAGCTCCAGAACAGAACCTTCCCGACATCACACTTTACATATACATTAGCTTGGAGTGCTGGTGTGTCCATTTTCTAGGTCTGTTGTAACGAAGTACCGCACACTGGCTGGCCTAGAACAACAGGAGCGTGTTCCCTGCTAGATCTGTTGTAACGAAGCACCGCACACTGGCTGGCCTAGAACAACAGGAGCGTGTTCCCTGCTAGGTCTGTTGTAACGAAGCACCGCACACTGGCTGGCCTAGAACAACAGGAGTGTGTTCCCTGACAGTTCTGGGAGCTGCACATTCGAGATCAGGATGTCCTCAGGGTTGGTGCCTTCCGAGGGCTGTGAGGGAGAAGTGGCTTCATGCCTTTGCTGGCAGTTGCCGTTCCTTGGTGTGTGGAAGCGTCACGCACTCTCTGCCTTCATCTCCACGTGGCAGTCTTGCTGTGGCGTGTCTGTCCCCAAGCCTCCCTTTGTTTAAGGACACCAGTCATATCGGAATAGAGCCCATCCCACCAACTCCAGTGTAATGTCTTCTGTGTCCGCAGCAGCTGTTTACCAATAAGGTCACATTCTGAGGTACTAGAGGTTGGGACTTCATCATTGGAATTTGAAAGGGACAGCATTGAGCCCGCGACTCCGGATAAACGTGAGGTATGCTATCATTCCTGATTCACAGATGAGTCAGTACAAACTTGAGTGAGCTTGCTCACTGTTCGATCGAAGGCAGTGTTCAGACCCAAGTTTGGCATTCAGGGCAGGTGTCCTCTGCGTGGAAGAATCTTACTCAGTAGCCTTAAGGCTGACAAATTCCCCTCCTCCCTGCCTTCTGATGGGGGCTGGGCAGGCCAGCTGGAGCTGTGTCTCCTGCTGGGATTCTGGACTGAGTGACAGTGGGTAGTGAAACCTCAAGCATTTTAAAACGTGGTATTGTTCCTGGAAGACTGGTTATGTTGGCTAGGGTCAGCAAGAGAGGGCATCAAGGCTGTAGTCTAGCAGTGACTTAATCTGCAAGTCACACCAGACGGGTATTTTGTATTATTCATATGTCAGATCCTACCAACAGGCAGTGAGCCAGGCAGAGCTCCTGGTGCTCCTTGTCACTCATGTAATTTTCACATCAAGAAAACTCTGGGCCGGGCGCAGTGGCTCACACCTGTAATCCCAACACTTCGGGAAGCCAAGGTGGGTGGATCGCCTAGCTCAGTGACACCAGCCTGGGCCACATGGCAAAACCCCATCTCTACCAAAAATACAAAAAATTAGCTGGGTGTGATGGTGCACGTTTGCAGCCCCAGCTACTCTGGAGGCTGAGGTGGGAGGATTGTTTGAGTCTGGGAGGCAGAAGTTGCAGTAAGCCAAGATTGTGCCACTGCACAAGCTGGATGACAGAATGAGACCCTGTCTCAAAAATAATTTAAAAGCCTCTGCCCCAAACTCATTAAAAGATTTTATAACCACAACTACTGTTTCTGTGTAGATGCAGCTGCGTGCCCAGGAGCAGTAAATGCAATAAAATCATTTGGTTATACTTTGAACACAAACGGTTGAGGCTTTTGCTTTCTAAATAGTTTGTCCCTTGTATCAACATATCTGGAAAAGGGAGAAATCCGATTTTTAAGGCCAAGGGAGGGGCAAATTCCAAGTAGAAGCCAGGCTGTCCTAGCACGTTTACCCCACCTACCTGTGTGCTCCTACCTGTCCTGAGGATTCTCTCAGTACCTCTGAGGTCTTGAGAAGGTTGTTCACCTTCCTGCTTCAGACGTCTGACTCAGAGAAGAACATTGTTCTACTTACCAGAGTGTTTTCTGTGTAAAACCACATCATGAAGGAGAAAGCGACAAAGGGAATGTGAGGGGACTGGAAACCACCGGGAGGCTGTCTCTTGAGTCCCCACCACCGATGCAGAGCCAACCAAGGCACCTCAGGAAATGGAATTGCCTCTGGATTTGGAAATCCTCCTGGGTAATGTAGCTGAAACCCAGGTTGATGCCATGCAGCAGGAGCAGCTGGGGGAACCGGCTCTCAGGAGAGGTCTGCCAACCCTCCAGCCCAACACCCTTCACCACGGTGGTGGAGGGGGCTGCACCCCAGTGATCTTTGTCTCCCTTTTGACCACTGATACCTTTGGCCTTAGCTGAGAACAGCTACCCCTCGGTCCTTCCCCCCCACCCCAGGGGCTGGGTAGCTGGCTGGAGCTATGTCTCCACCTTGCTCTGGAGGTTGAGACCCCATCTGAGCAACATCCTCCCTCTTCGTTCCTCCGATCCCTTGGCATCGCCACAAAACCACAGGTGCATAATAACTCACTGAGTCAACATTCCTGTTAGGCTTTTCATTTTCATTTGAAAAGTAAAATGTGACCGGGCGTGGCAGCTCATTCCTGTCATCTCAACACTTTGGGAGGCCGAGGCAGAAGGATTGCTTGAGGTCAGGAGTTTGAGACCAGCCTGAGCAACTAGTGAGACCCCATCTCTACGAAAAAAAGTAGAAATAGTAGCCTGCTGTGGTGGCACATGCCTGTAGCTATTTGGGGGGCTGAGGTGGGGGAAGATCCCTTGAACCTAGGAGGCAGAGGTTGCTATGAATGGTGGAGCGCCACTGCATTCCAGCCTGGGCAACAGAGCAAGACTTCATCTCAAAAAAAAATAGCATAAAATGTGAAGCACAACCAAAAGATGTTTTCTAAGACCTGTAGGCTTTAGATAGTTCTGGTCACCTGATCTGGCCCCTCCCCAAAAGAAAGAAGAAGAAATAACTGTTTCATACCCTGGGGATAGATTGTACTCCTGGCCACACTGTTTCATACACTGGGGATAGATTGTACTCCTGGTCACACTGTTTCATACACGGGGGATAGATTGTACTCCTGGCCACACCACAGATTTAAGCCAACCTTAGTCTTTTTTCTGTTTTCTTTATCTCCCCAACTCTTGCCTCAGCTAGAAGAAGAAACAAATTAAAAAGATGAGGCCACTGGTGGGAGGGTCCCTATCAGTCCTAAATCATACTGTGGTACAAAGGAAAGAGAAGGCCAGCGTTGAAGCTGTGGAGATCTTGTCCAAGTCGCTTTTCTCCTGTGAGATGGTTTCCCTTCCTCTGCCAAAAGCAGTTGGACCAGACACAAGTACTTCTGCTTGCAGAGTTATGTAGACGACTCAGCGATGATTATAGCACTTCAGCAATTCCATCAAATAAGCCCACTTTCATTTTGTTTTCCTTTATTTTTTTCCCTAAAGACAGGCTCTCACTATTTTGCCCAGGCTGGTCTCAGACTCCTGAGCTCCCACCATGGCCTCCCAAAGTGCTGGGATTGTAAGTGTGAGCCAGCACACCCAGCCTCCAGCCACACTTAATATTAGCAACAAACACTGATACTGTTTGGTCTTAAAAGTGATGGTCAGTGCCCACTACTAGTCCATGCAGCAAGGCTAGAGGTTAGAAAACTTGCTTAGGGCAGACTGGCCACAGGAAAGGGAGTGTTGAGGGGACCACTGAAAGACCAGGTACCTCCAGCAGCCCAGACCCATATATAGGGCAGCTGGTAGAGTGCCAGTGGTCCAGCATCTGAGGGATGGTTTCAAGCAATCATGAGCTCATCAAGGGCAAAGCCCAGGGGGTCCATCTGTACCTGTTTTGCCCATCGGAGGCCAATTGGGAACTTTATCTTCTCTTGAAACCATAGCCTATAGCCAGGTCACCATGATTAATGTGCATATAATCACCAAAGTACAGAGAAGCCATAGAAATTCCCTGTGAGAAGATGCAAAACTCTAAGTGTAGGAAAGCAGAGTCCTCAGGAATACACGGAAGTGGGAGGAACCAGGGGCTTACCTCACACATCTTGGCCATAGCCAAGAATATCACAGGCAGGCCGACAACTATGTGACAAAGGGCTGTCTTCTAATCACACAACCAAATGGCAGGGGAACCACCCTTTTTCCATCACCTGCTTTAAAAAAAAAAAAAATGTAGGCCGGGCGCGGTGGCTCAAGCCTGTAATCCCAGCACTTTGGGAGGCCGAGACGGGCGGATCACGAGGTCAGGAGATCGAGACCATCCTGGCTCACACGGTGAAACCCCGTCTCTACTAAAAACATACAAAAAACTAGCCGGGCGAGGTGGCGGGTGCCTGTAGTCTCAGCTACTCGGGAGGCTGAGGCAGGAGAATGGCGTAAACCCGGGAGGCGGAGCTTGCAGTGAGCTGAGATCCGGCCACAGCACTCCAGCCTGGGTGACAGAGCAAGATTCCGTCTCAAAAAAAAAAAAAAAAAAATGCTCTGGTATGGTTTGTCTATCCTGCCCCCATTATATTGGTCTTCCTATGCCTTGTCAAAATACGGAGGGGTTGGATACCTGCTATTTTGTACCTTTTTACGTGAGGATCAATCAGGTATAGCCACAAGAGAAGATGGAGGAGAGTCTTAGGAAAAGACGAAGTGCATTCTACTCACAGATCCTAGAGACAGGAGGCACAGCAGGCCAGGCAGGGCCACATGGCAAAGACACCAGGAGGCAGGAAGCAGAAGACAGGAGCAAGGAGAAGGTTTGGGCCACTAACTTTATTGTGGTTTTCTTGGAGAGAGTCAAAGCAGGGCAAGGGGAGGATTGGCTAGTTTGAATGATTTCTATGGGCTTTGAGTTACAGGGATGGCTCCTAATTGCCTGGCACCAGATTCTGGGATGCATAAGACGGAGGAATGTTGCCTCCTGGGGTGTCCTGTCAGATATTGGAGGTATGGGTCTGAATGGGTTAGTTTGCATATCAAAGGCATGCTCCTTGCTGGTCAAGGATTCACTGGCACATAAACCTCCGATAAGGGGCCTAAGGACTAAACTCTAACTGGTATTGTCTTAAATTTCCTCCTGAGGGCCCTGGAGGAAGTCGTTCCCAAGAGACAGACTTAACATTCTTTTCTACTGACCCCAAATTTTAAACAAAGCTTCTCTTCTCTAACCTATTGCAAATCAGAAAAATCTGTGAATTCTACCTATGACCTGTAAGCCTCCGCTTCAAGGTATCCTGTCCTTTTGAGGCTAAACCAATGCGTAATTTCAATGTATTGATTTACAATTTTCCTTGTAATTTCTGCTTTCCTAAAATTTACCCTGCCTTTTTTTTTTCTCTTTTTCTTTTCTTTTTCTTTTTTTTTTTTTTTCTTCCTTTTCTTTTTTTAATGACTAGTCAGATGCAGTAGTGAGAATCGGGGAAAGAGTAGAACAAGGCGTTTGATGTGTAACTGACTGTGAACAATCGTGATAACTCATTACCTTTGCACCAGCCGCCCTGCCTTTAAAAACCCTTTCTTGCAAGCCACTGTGGAGGTCAGATATTAAGGGTGAGCTGCCTGATTCTCCTTGCTTGGCATCCTGCAAATAAACACCTTCCTTTCTCCTGCCACAAACCTCAGAGTGGATGTTTGGCCTATTGCACTGGACGAGTGGATCACAGTTAGATTAAATAATGGCCAGGTGTGCAGTGTTGGGGCTCGAAGATGGCAAGTACAGACTTGCATTATAGTTGAGAAGAAGAGGACAGATGATATCCATCACATTCCTTTCTTACCACTTTCTCCATGGTTACTCACCAAGGGCAGAGACCTCTGTCTGTGTCTGCTTACATTATCTAGCTTGCAGTCTAAGTCAACGTGCTTCTGCAAAATGAGAGCTTGGTATGTGTTGGATAGCGCTGCACCCCATCGCTTCTGCCCTCCAAAAGAAACAAAACTCCCATCCAAGCAGGTGCTTGGAAACCGGCATGTTCAGGTGCTGGGGAGAGCTGCCACTGTCTAGACACCAGTCTCTGGTATGAACTAAGTATCCTGCAAACACTGTTTCTCTGGCATCAACTAGGTATTCTGCAAACACTCTTTCCAAATACAGTCACATTCACAAGCCCCAGAGAAAGATCTTCATGGGGGCCGCATTCAAACCACTACAGTTCTTTTAAGGGAGGATTTAAATCTCAAAACCAGTTAGGTAATCAATAGTGTTCTACCACTCCAGGAAACCAAAGCTGCCCTCCACATTCTGGTTTCCACAGTAAAGTGATACTCCCTCAGGAAATAGTTGTCTTCATGTAACCAACTCAAGTTCAGCTGCTCACAAGAAGCAAGGTGTGTTCAAAGGAAAGCAGCTTTACTAATGAAATGCTATCTGATGGGAAATGCCAAGACCTTAAAGAAACCACTTCCAAAGTTTGGGCTGAGGGCAGGGGCTTAAAAAAGGGAGGCCTGGTGTGAAAGCCATGCTGGAGTTGTGCAGGTGCAGGGGCTGTGTCTTGCCCTGAAGGCTGTCTTGAGTTATGGTCCACCTGGAGCGCAGGCTGGCACCATCTCCACAGTGGCCACGGCCATGTAACTGAGCAGCTTGGCAGCTAAGCCTCAAACCACGTTTTAAAACTTTTTTTTTTTTCCTTTCTCCTTTCCTCCTTGAACCTTCTAGTCTCAAGCTATAATAACTTCTTTCTTTCTTTCTTTTCTTTCTTTCTCTCTCTCTCTCTCTCTCTCTCTCTCTCTCTTTCTTTCTTATTTTTGAGACAGAGTCTTGCCCTGTGCCCCAGGCTGGAATGCAGTGGCATGATCTGGGCTCACTTAAGCCTCTGCCTCCTGGGTTCAAGCAATTCTCATACCTCAGCCTCCCTGGTAGCTGGGATGACAGGCATGTGCCGCCATGCCCAGCTAATTTTTGTATTTTTTAGTAGAGATGGGGTTTCACCATGTTGGCCAGGCTAGTCTCAAACTCCTGACCTCAGGTGACCCGCCTGCCTCAGCCTCCCAAAGTGCTGAGATTACAGGCATGAGCCACGAAGCTGGGCCAACTTTTTATTATTTTGACTTCTTTCCACAAGCGGTGAGCAGCCAGAGCCTTTTTTTGCTGGTTACAATCAGGCTGTAGATTATCCATCTTGAGGCAATCTGTAAGTGGGGGAGAATTTTGCAGCTGGACCTGTATGCCTGGTGTATTTTAAACTAACCCCTGGAATTTCCTAACAAGCATAGGGTTAGATAAAGGTGCATGGGGTAAGGAAGTGTGCAGTGGAAAAGGGAAGGGGCTGTAGTTTCAAAGTACATTTCAAGGCTATATTTTAAGACTAAGGAAAAAAAGGTTTTTACAGTTTGTTTCAAGGTTATATCTTGAGACTGGAAAGAAAGGAGGAAAGAAAAGAGTTTTAAAGTGCATTTTGAAACTCAGCTACTCACATTTAGTCAAGAATCTAGAGTGTTACTGGGTGTGGTGGCTCATGCCTGTAATCCCAGCACTTTGGGAGGCCGAGGCAGGCTAATTGCTTGAGCACAAGAATTTGAAACCAGCCTGG